CAACCAAAAAGTAGTTGGGAACGTCGTCCTCAGCCATACTGATACGGTGCCAGCAGAACTGATACTAACAGAATGACACCGAGCTCTGGCAAGCTGCCGTATTTATGCGCACATCACGAGCGTAAAAGAGAGCACCCTAAACCGAGAGCCAAAAAAATCATGGCGACGTCAAATTGTGTTATTTTGTGCTTCACAAACTATACATTGGAGTGAATAACTTATTATAGGAATAGAAATACTTTCATACATCTTACCCATCAGATGAAGGTAAGTTTCAGGCATGATTTCATAGTATTTTTGATGCATGACATTTATCTGTCGTCTAGAAAAGAAGCATTGATGTTGAACCGAAGGGGTAAAATCGGGTCACCTGAATACATAAAATAAGTATTTTTACCTTTTTTAAAGTGTGATACAAGGAAAACTTAATTTATACAATGAGATTAAACCTAGAGAAAAGTGTTGATACTGTTTTTAAATCAAAGGAATGGTTTCAAGTGTAAAAATATAGCCAGAGTCGGTTTAGGTATAGACACAAGAAGGCGAAGGTCGGCCATTTTTTGTAGAAAATCACTGTAATGACTTGTATAGAGAATATAGGATTTTTTTAAATCGTGATCTTTTCTGACTGGAATTTTTAAATAAATCAAATCAGTTTAGTTAAAAAACAATTTGAATCCACTTTATTTCCAGTGGGAAGGTCTAGATGTTTTATAAATATTGATAAAACACACAGCGTCTTATTACAAGGCACAGCATTCTATACACATAGGCATGATTTTTTTTAGAAATCCTGAAAGATTTTGAGATAAAACAGATTAGTTTTAAATTCAATCTATATCTACTTTAATGGAAATGGGAATAGTTTTTTTTTTCTGACTAAAAAAAAAAATCTCAGCGTCTAAAAAAATCTCAGCGTCTAAACCAGGGCACAAGATGGCGTCATATTTGTATAGAAATCATAACAAAAGACTTATTGTGGTTGACATCCTTTTATTTTTTATTTAATAATTGTTCAAATTGTTGAATTCTCCTCTGAAATCGTAATCGATCGGCTACTATAGCCATCCATGGACTTTTTCGATCTTCGGGTGGTAAATGATAAATTTCATTCAGGCTGGTATCAAAAGTTACACATTTCTTAACATGTCTGAAATTTCTACATATTTCATCCCGTATTGGATGCATATTTTCTCTACCGCTTCTATTTCCTTCCAGAGTAGACATACTTTGCTCCCTTCGGGATGACATAGGAAACTGTAAGGTTTTCCTAAATAGTCGCTCATTTTCATCCCGTACATTTTTTCTGGTAGAGTCTTTTTGATCCGTTGACAAAGGAAATGTATAATGGCTAGTCTCCCCAGTGTCGGATGATGTAATAAAGCCAGGCATTGTAACCACAAGTCCTGAGTATTTTCTATGATGGTCGTCGCTCTCTGGAACACTGGTTCCGCCTCCGGGGGTAAAGCTTCTTGATTTTTCTCGATACATCGCATTAAAAAATCATACCCTTCCAACACTAAAGAGTGAGTGTGTTTATGTGTTGACATGATAATCAATTGTGAAGAAATGACTAGAAATGTTTTCTTATTTATACCCCTGTTATCTATACAAGACGTACACAGAACGTACAATGTACTGACTCAGCAATGTACTGACTCAGCAAAACGTAGGTAAAACGAGAGAGGGTACTAAGCGCGAGGGTACAAAACGTAAGTCAAACCTATTTTTGCACACGAAATCCAAAAGGGTATATAAACCAGAACTGGAAATTTAGGATCATTCTTACTGGGCACTTGGTACTAGACAGACGTAGAAATATGGCACAGGCAATGATGAATTCCGTGGAAAATGGTAATTATATTCCAGCTAGCAATGAAGGGTTAGGATATGCTCTACCGACAATGCCTGACACGCAGGATCCCATCGGATTTGATCTGGGACTTTACAATATGCCTGAACCCATGACTAAGGAAGATATGGGCATCTTAACCACCACTTTGGATGGCATTGTTAACATGCTGACTCAACTGAAAGAGTACAACACCAGTGAATTTTGTTTGATTCGTGGGAAATTGTCCCGATTAGAAGTTAAAGTCGCTAGAATGGAAGAAAAAATGAGAGGATACGAGAAAAATGAAAACACAGGAGCTGCCAAGAAAAATGAAAACACAGGAGCTGCCAAGAAAAGTAAACAGACAGACCCATGTTTCATATGTAAAGAATTAGGACATTGGGCTCCGGACTGTCCCAGAAAAAAACAGAACTTATGCTACAAGTGTGGAAATTTTGGACATTGGGCCCATCAGTGTACAGATGACAGTATTGAATTACTCAAAGAAGTCGAAAAACTGGAGAAAAAGGCACAAGAAAACAAGACCACCCAACATAAGACCAGTCAACAGGATCAAAAGCAGGCTAACAACAAGAGGAAACTTCTTACTACCCAGACGGAGAAGACCCTGAAACTCCAGAAGAAAAAGTAAATAGTATGTACATATTACTTGAATAAATCATCTTACACACTTTTTTTACTGTGTTATTGTTTTTTCCGTTTTCAGAAAATAGAGCTCTGTGTGAATGACACACATGACGTCACAATGGTATACTTGAATCGATGCCAAGATTGTGTATTGCCTATACCTGACTCAGCACAAAACGTAGATCAAACGTAGACCCCCCTTTTTTACTTGGGTTTTTCCAGGGTGTATACTAGATTGAACCGGTCATCTGGGGCCAAAAAAGTGCACTCAGTTGACCCGGCCATCCAGGATCTGGGGGGGGGGGACAAAAGTGCACTCAGTTGACCCGGCCATCCAGACCCCTTATACTACTAACTACTCTGTCTACCTGAACAATACAAAGGACTCACAGCAGAAGTGACCTGTTGATAGGGGATGCTTACTATGCCCAAGCACCTGATCCCACCTCTGGAGTTTCCTGGTGTCAACATTTTTTGTCCTGTTCACAGAATTGTACTGTCTGTAGTTTTTTTTTTTTTTTTTTAGATCGGTTATTGTTCAATAATTTAATTTCGTTTGTATTCTAGCCTCTGATTGGTTAATATCCAAAAAGGAACACAAAATATTTCTGTATAACCTGGTTTGGTATGGGGACACCCCCCCCCCTGACAACCAGCTGAATCATCTGTATCCATACAATCCTCTCATTTCCAGTCCTCGGGATTCATGGAAAATTCCAGATTTAATAAATGTACCTTTAACTTCAAACAATAATGCGATCTTACCACATGTAAATGAACAAATAGGTTGCTAGGCCTATGCATCAGTTTTAACCTCCCCTCGCTTCCCATCACTTCCGTTACTTCCGTTACTATGGTTGTATTATTGAGCGGCAAATTTGAACTAATAAAAAGCAACGAAATTTTACACCCATAGCTAAAAAATGATTTTAAAATTAAATTATAAGGAATGACTCTAATTCTTGGCCAAATTATTCGAGTATAACCTGGTTTGGGTCAGTTTACGCTGTTTTATAATCCGCTTCGCGGATTATAAAGCGTAAACTGACCCAAACCAGGTTATACTCGAATAATTTGACCAAGAATTAGAGTCATTCCTAAATTATCTTTTCACTTATTTCATTTAATTAAAGTAAATCAGTAAGATATTGTAATGTACAGGTAACTCTTGATGGCTCGAACTTCCATCTCTCAAAGTTCTTGATTGCTCAAAGTGAGTCTCCGGTCCCGAATTTTCCCCCTATATAACTAAGCAAATTAGATCTCTTGATCTCTTGAAACCCTTGATCCCTCGAAGTCAAAATGCAGTCCCATTATGCATATTCTATTAGAATTTACCCTCGATACCTCGAAGTGGCTATAGTGTATACAAGGTTATATAATTAGCATCTTTTCCTGGACTTTTCAATTGCCCCAGGCAGAAGACGAGGGTCTCCAGGAACGGGATGTTTATTCAGGTGATACTTATGCTGCAAGGTGATAATTGATTTATAATCAATCATATTTTGCCTATATGCTGTTTAAATAATTATCATCGACTGTCTTACGATAATTTAGAGACGCAGTGTCAGTGAAAAGTAGTAATTTTTAAAAGACGAAACACGAATTTAATTTTTATTCGAGTCAGTGTCAAAGTTTAACGAAATATGAAAAAGCAGAAACAGCCTCAATGTCAGTATGACGACTATTATTGGACAAAAATACTTACAGAACTGCGTTTGATCATATTTGGAATAGTCAATGCTATGTATGACGCTGTAAAATGTCGTTTTCATGTAACGAATGCGTACAATGTAGTATGATGTCCGTATTACAAAGAATAGATAAATATACATGAAATGACGATACACATTTTTTGCTTTACTCAGTTTAATGAAATATTCATCTAAATTAAGAAAAGATTTCGATGTTTTATAAAAACCACGTGTAAAAGGTTAGGACTGCATGAAAATCATTACATCCAGTAAGACTAATTTTAAAACCTGTCAACAAACCCGGAAATTTCTGGACTCTTGAAGACTCAAACTCTTGATCTCTTGAAGTTTTTCCTCGGTCCCTTGGACTTTGAGGAATCGAGAGTTACCAGTATTATACTTTTATTGGGGATGATGAAGTCCTTGATCTTTGATGTGAAATTAGGAAAAGATGGGCATTACCCCCTGTTGTGGGTAACCTAAACTAACATAAACTAACATAAACTACTAGTATTGTTTTTGGTTAAAGTCTTGAAAGAAAGGCCATTTCAAAGTAATAAAGTCCTTCTTCAACCTACTTTAATTTCAAGTATGCATGTATACAATGAAATATTAATTCTAATTTGTATGTGATTGAATTGGTGAATGGGTTACAAGTTTTTGCTTCTGTTCAGTTATTCTTTTAATGCACTGAGGTAATGTTAATAGGTCTGATCACAATAATGAAGATGTCATTTCTTTGACTTGTCTTTTCTTTGTCATCAAGTTATGTTCATCTTTCAGGATTCCTTGTTAAAAATAGTTGAACTGTTATGTACTTTTAGTTTATTGTCCTGCGGGATATGAAGTCTTGGCTGCAGCAAATGAAACCTGTCGATCATGTCCACGAGGCCAATATAAGAACAACACAAATGTGTTCAGTAAATGTTCTGCTTGTCCATCTGGTAACACAACAGAAAGCATGAAAACCACCAGCATCAATGACTGTTCTATAAGTGAGTACATGCATTTATAAAATTTAATGCAAGTCTTGAAAGATATATTTATACCAACTTTCTTTGGAATTTTGTTGTTATACATGTTCCACAGAGACTATTTTTTTTCAAATCTCAGGATATAATGATCCATGATATTTCTTTTCTTTAGATTGTGTATATTTTTTTTAGTTGATATTATTGTGATTTTGCTGTATAACATGCTAAATGTTTGGCATTGACAGATATTTGTAGCAGTGGCCAAGAGATAGGAAGTAGTGGTGGTTGTGTTGATTGTGAAATAGATTACTACCAGTCCGTAGATGTACCAACATCAAAAGACAAGTGTAAAACATGCCCATCTTCTACTGGCACAAAACAGAAAATGTCCAACAGCTCCTCTGATTGCCTTCGTAAGTCATAAATTTTACAGCTGGGATGGTGTTCTTTGCAGCTAATTAATGATAGTGTTAATCAATAAAAAACTTTAATTTTATTGGTTTTAAGATTTACATGTATTGTAGATAAAATGCATGATTTTGTTAGTCTTTTTTGTATTCATACCAATAATGTGTGTAAAAGTTTGCATATATTTTTACAGCTGTGTGTTCCCGAGGACAGTTTTATAATTCAACATCAAGTGCCTGTCAAGCTTGTCCCAAAGGAACCTGGAACAATGGGAATTTCACCATGAAATTTGAGGGATGCACTGTGTGTCGAGTTAATTATACCACCACTGGTCCTGGAATGATATCTGAAGATAACTGCACTCTTTGTATGTATTGAATTAATTGAATAGCATAATATGGGAAGAAAGCCTTATTCTAGTAATATACTTCTTTAACTTAGAATGAATAGGTTTTGTCAAATATGCATGGATTTTGGAAAAATTGTCACACACAATGTGCTTATACAAGAAACACTTTGTTGAATTTTCAAAAAAGGCATTACAATCTTGAAGGTAGATATCCAACAGTCTTTCCTTATATAAATATATACGATAGTAAACTGTATTGGATTAATAAAATCTTGATTGATCCAGAAATTCCCAAGTCCCATTCTAAACAACTGATCTTTAACATCCCTTGCCCAGTTAAGTTTGGAGTGTAATTTATTTTCAGCATTATACAATAAATATTCATAAGAAGATTTCAATATACAGTTATTTGTACTAAGTAATTTACACCAGTATTTCATAATTCTTATTTTCCTGGTTATGATAAATGGATAACGGCCTAATTCACGATAAACCATATAACTACAAGTAGATCTTTTAACTCCTAGTAGGTTTTTACAAAACATAAGATGAATGCGCTCTATTTCAGGTGATTTGTGGAAGCCCAAAATTTCACACCCATAATTTAAAACACTTAATATATATGTATCAAACAATTGACAATGCGTTTCTGCATTAAATTCAAACATTTGGATATTTCGATTTAGTCCAAAAAGTGCTTTTCGCCCCTGATCTGCCAGCTTTTTTTGTGTAGAACTAAATTTGCCATTATAAAACAGTGTAAGTCCTAAATAATTGAAAGAATCGACACACTCAAGGATTTCCCCATGATATGTCCATGAAGAATTGACTGTTCCACTGTTTCGGAATACCATTATCTTTGTTTTTGATGCATTTACGGAAAGGTTCCATGTAGAAACATAACGATGCAAGGAATCGAGCATTGTTTGCAACTCCTCGGGCGAATTTGCAAATATAACCGTATCATCTGCAAACATTAAAATGAATAAATTAAGTTCTCGCAGTTCCACTGATGGCGAATTTTCACAGATGAAATGGTTTTCCAGGTCATTCACATACATGTTGAATAGGATTGGTGATAACACTTCTCTTTGCATTAAACCACTTTTAACACTAAACATATCAGATACCTGGCCAACATGTTTTACACAGGCTCGTACGTCCGAATACAATGATTGAATAATCCGAATGAGTTTTCCCGTAACCCCTAATTTGATGAGCTTGTACCACAACTTCTCCCGATTAATTGTGTCGAACGCTTTTTTGTAATCGATGAAGCAGCAGTAAAGACGTTGTTTTTTATTTAACTTTTGTGAGATCAAACTTTGAAGGGAAAATATGGCACCTACAGTAGAGCGTCCAGCTTGAAAACCGAATTGTGCATCTGTAATAACTGACTCCTCAGAATTCCAGGCAGCGATCCTTTCATTTAAAATGGACGTAAACAATTTTCCAAGGCTGCTAGTAATACTTATGCCTCTGTAATTACCTGGATCAGATGTATTGCCCTTTTTATAGATAGGTACTATAATCGATTGTGACCACAGTTTTGGGAATGTGCCCGAACCAAAAACTTTATTAAAGAGGGTAACGATTCCTGGTATTAAGATCTCTCTAAATGTCAAAATATATTCGTTGATCAATAAATCACTTCCACAACTTTTATTTCACTTCAACTTTTTTAGCTCACCTGAGCCGAAGGCTCAAGTGAGCTTTTCTGATCACTTTTTGTCCGGCGTCCGTCTGTCTGTCCGTCTGTGTAGCTGTCCGTCTGTCTGTCTGTCTGTAAACTTTTAACATTTTCAACTTCTTCTCAAGAACCACTGGGCCAGTTTCAACCAAACTTGCCACAAAGTATCCTTGGGTGAAGGGGATTCAAGTTTGTTCAAACGAAGGGCCACACCCTCTTTCAAGGGGAGATAATAAAGAATTAGTGAAAAATTAATAGCATCTTTTAAAAATCTACTTCTCAAGAACCACAGGGCCAGGAAAGATGAAACTCATGTGGAAGCATCCTCAGGTAGTATTGCAATCAATTTTTTCAAATCATGACCCCCGGGGGTAGGGCGGGGCCACAATGGAGGATCAAAGTTTTACATAGAAATATATAGGAAAAATCTTGAAAAATATTCTTCTCAAGAACAGCAAAGCCATGATGAGTCATATTGATATGGAAACATCCTCAGGTAGTGTAGATTCAAGTTTTTTCAAATCATGACCCCTGGGGTTAGGGCGGGGCCACAATGGAGGATCAAAGTTTTACTTAGAAATATAAAGGAAAAATCTTGAAAAATCTTCTTCTTAAGAACAGCAAAGCCATGATGAGTCATATTTATATGGAATCATCTTCAGGTAATGTAGATTCAAGTTTGTTCATATCATGACCCCTGTGGCTAGGGCGTGGCCACAATGGAATATCAAAGTTTGACATAGAAATATATAGGAAAAATTTTGAAAAATCTTCTTCTCAGGAGCAGCAAAGACCTGATTGGTCATATTTATATGGAAACATCCTCAGGCAGTGTAGATTCAAGTTTGTTCAAATCATGACCCCCAGGGACAGGACGGGGCCACAATGGAGGATCAAAGTTTTACTTAGAAATATAAAGGAAAAATCTTTAAAAATCTTTTTCTTAAGAACAGCAAAGCCATGATGAGTCATATTTATATGGAAGCATCCTCAGGTAGTGTAGATTCAAGTTTGTTCAAATCGTGACCCCAGGGGTAGGGCGGGGCCACAATGGAATATCAAAGTTTTACATAGAAATATATAGGAAAATTTCTTCTTCTGAAGAACTGCAAAGCCATGATTAGTCATTTTGATATGGAAGCATCCTCAGGTAGTGTAGATTCAAGTTTTTCAAATGATGATGCCTGGGATAGGGAGAAGCCACAATGGGGGATCAAATTTTTACAAAGGAATATATGGGAAAATGTTGTTAAAATCTTCTCAAGTACAACAAAGCCATTTGTTATGTTGACATGGAAGCATCATCAGGTAGTTTAAAATACAACTCCCCCCCCCCCACCTCATATCCACCCCACCCCCGGTAATCTTTTCAATACTGAACCAATTTGTGTTTTTGCTTAGCCAATGTGCTCTGGTGAGCGATGTGGCCCATGGGCCTCTTGTTGTACAATCTTCCACTTCTTTCTCTGTTATAATAGAATCCAATGAATCAAAATAGGCTCATAGTTTTCAAAATAGGTTCCAATAGAAATATAACTTGCAGGTGTGTCATTGGATAAGGAGCAAAAGTGATCAAAGAAATCAGAAAGTGAAATTCCGTTTACGGAAATGTTTGTAAAACTGACCTGGGTTATTCTTCTTTAAAGCCTGGACCATATCTCCCTGTGAAGTTCGATACTGTCGCTTCAACTTTTTTTCAAAAGTTTTATATTCACGTTTTAATCTAATAAGCTTATTATAATTAGCACTAGAATGACGAGAATTATAATGACCAAGTGCATCTATATATTTGTTTTATAAAGCCCTACATCAAGAGTTGAACCAAGGTTTATCAATTTGCAGAGTCTTTATTTTTTTGTTTGTGGAAACTAAGGCATTGTTCTTACAGTATTTACCAAATACACTATCTAAACAGTGATTGTCGTTATCAACGCACGTATCTATATTGTCGCTATCTATACATGAATAAAGTTCGTCAAGCTTATTCATTAAATCAACTCTCATATTTTCACGGAAATTTTCTTTCCATCTAATCAAACACGGTGACTGATTCTGATTAGAATTCAATAAATTATCCGTTGGCGATGCTGTCACAGCAAGACCATGTACATGTATGGTAAAATCAATAGGTGTGTGATCCGAGAATTCATTCAGGTCACATACCGTAAATCCCGATATAAGGCTGAGCAAACTAGTCAAAAGTAGGTCAACGGCGGATCGCCCCAGTGGTCCAACATATGTAAATCTTCCCTCTGAATCAGATTGATGTCGACCATTTATAATACGAATATTTGACGCTCTACAAATCTCAATCAATCGTCTTCCAAAAGTATCAACTTTCGTGTCCATTGAATTTCTAGGACCTAATTCCGAATCCGGAGTATAAGTAATCACATCTGATAAGTTTGTATTTATTTCATTGCTAAGAGAGTCGCATTCAATGTAGTCCAGTAATTTTCCCGTTCTCGCATTGAGATCACCTGAGATAATCACATTACCCAAATCACAATAAAGTATTTCACAATACAATTGTTTAATGTAGTGAAAAGATCACAGTTGTAAATTTCATGGAATTTGGATTCATATGGAGGGATATAAACTGCTCCTAGATAAATGTCTTTACCATCTACGGAAAGGGACTCACTTAGCCTAATCCATATAATAGTGTCATATAAAACTTCTAATGGTGTAATATAATTATATCTATACAAGTTATTAAAATATTTGTTAACTCCTATACAATTTACTTCGTGTTGTATACCATGTATGTTGAACCTGTCTACCACGCAGCTATGTTAAGGCTTCCCGAAGCTTTAAAATGCGCTCAAAACATAATATGTCGTTGCGAGGTCGATTTTGGTTTTAATTTATAAGTATTGAACTTTAGTACTTCCAATTTATATAAAGGATTTCCTCGGCTATATATTAGCATATTTGTTATGATATCACATGACTTTGTTGATCACGTGACGGTCATTTAAATTTTTTTGAAGTGTTTATATAAATCGCTTCGGCGCAACTGATTAACACAATAATTATTAATATTTTGTTATATAAATAAACTCATCGTATCCTTGTGTATCCGAAATGTGCTTGGGAAAAGTCATAGTATTACTCGGGTACAAAATATTTCCTGAGAAATTCAACTTACCTACAAATTTGAGGGTATTTTCCACACAATATCGTAATCTGTATTAAAACAAAGCCAACACACATTTTTCCCAAGCAAGATTCAGTTAGAGAACAGCCTCTTCTTACAAATTTCCACAAAAATTCTCAGATTAATCCTCATTAATCACCTGCGCCAGACTCTTTTATACACACAAAATAAATTCTACCTCCAACCACGGGTATAAAACAGAGTACATTTCAAAAGTATATTTTTCTTAAGCATTTTGAACATGATGAATTTCAATCAAGGGTAGGTAAGCGGTGTATTTTTAAAATATTCGGACATCTAAGACTTAAAAAACCTTTAACGACCCGTGAATTTTGCAATAGCTATCTAGCATTTTACATGCAGTTTGAAATTAAGTGTAAAGTTCATGACACTCTCCCCGTCATAACACCTCAAGTTTGCAGTGACCTGACGTCATTTTCCATTATGACGTCATATTTTGGTAGTTCAGAGATGTGAAGGCACAGAGTGCACTGTCATATTCTACGGGAAGCCTTAACCTACCTGCGCAACATGGTTTACATATACGAGGCTTGATCTAAAAGTATTGTCACAGTGTCCATATCTTTTATATTTGGCGTCATATTATCAAATTCAATATACCAAAATATGCACATATATAAATCTAATTAACATTGCAATTTTGGTTTAATAATGTTTAATTAAATTCATTTTATACATGTTTCAAACATAAAGCATAGGGGGTGTCGCCGCGTCACAACTAAACGTCACGTTTTAAAGAATTTTTTTAGGTTGAAAAAGACAAACACATTAAAAAAAACACATAAAACGCGCCTAATCGCCCAATAATTTTAAAAGACAAAATTTACGTCATTTTCTAATGATCAGTTGAAAATTAAATGACGTTGTTGCTATTTTTGATTATAAACATTGTATTTTACTCTGATGCATTGAACAAAGGAAGTGTCAAAATGGGGAATAAACGCCGTAACGAGCTGTAATGCATTTTTCATTTTTACTTCAAAATGGGGAAATTACCAGTATAGACAGTTACGTTGATTAATCAGACTCACAGTAAAAAGAATGTAAATAAGAGTCTTGTTTATAGATGATTTCAGCGATTTTGGGGAGAGTGACGGGTCATTGAATGATTAGCAGAGGACAGGAAGACCAAAAGATGAGAGGTCGGACGGAAACGTTTAACTGGTGTCTGATGTTAATTGTCAAAAGACACGTCTGTATCTGTTATGTACAGGGATACGAACACTTTGTCTTATTGTACTGTTCAAAGAATTTTGACAGAGGACTTAATTATAAAAAGAGTGATCGAGTGTACGATGGGTACCAAGAATTCTTGAAGAACAGAAATTTCTGAACGTGTTCGTGAATCTCAAATATTTTTTTTATTGGGAATCGTTTGAATGTACATGTATGACGGCACGTATCCATTATATGACGTTATTAGATGCGGCGGCTACCAAAATCGCACTTTGTATATACATGTTATACGATATCTTTAAAGGTATAAATCATGTTGAATTGAAATTTTCAGGTCTAATTTGAAATAAATATAGCTTCCTTCATTTATAATTTTGTTGTTTTACGTCGACTAGTAGCAATTTTATCGAAGCTGTGACATAACTTTTGGATCAACCCTCGTACATGTACTTCCAAAATCACATAGTTTTTCCCTATCAAGTACTTATAAAAAAACATTTAACATTATAGTTGTTTTCAATTAGTATGAAAACATGGCATTCAAGTTTTAATGATTTGATTTGATATAATCTTGAAAATCAGCCAATTAATCTATTGATATATATAAGCATCTTTCCAACATACAATTTCAGTGTTCTGTGACATGGGGTTCTACTTTCATCACAACAGCTGTATTCCATGCAGTATTGGATATTACAAAGCATACAGAGGAAACATGTCCTGCACCAAATGTCCTGATGGATTTCTTACAACCAATGAAGCTTCAGTTAGTCCAAATGACTGCAGTGACCGTATGTCTGTTTTTCTATGATTACTTAGCCACTCAAATGACACATATCACAACCTCTTCATCCTCATGTGTTGTTCTTCTTTTTTTATTTCGAACTTTTCAACTTTGTGTGAGATTTTCTAAGCAAAATTTATCCGTTGTCTTTATTGGCATTGTCATAAACTTTCCACATTTTCGACTTCTTCGCAAGAACAACTGTGCCAATATCATCCAAACTTGCCTCAAAGAATCCTTTGGTGAGGGGATTCAAGTTTGTTCAAATGAAGGGCCATATCCTCTTTCAAAGGGAGATAATTAAGAAATAGTGAAAACTAAATGGCATCTTTTAAAAATCTTCTTCTTTGGACTGGAAATGATGAAACATATGAAATCTTTACATATCTGTATTCAACTTTGTTCAAACCATGACCCACAAAGTAGGATGGGGACACAATGGGCAGGCAAAGTTTTACGTAGGAAAACTCTTTAAATTTTTTTCTCTAGAACAGCAAAGCCATGATCAGTCATATTTATGTGAAATCATCCTTCAGATTTGTTCAGATCTTTACCCCTGGAGATAGGGTGGGGCCTTGATGGGCAATCTAAGTTAAACATAGGAATACATAGAAAAAATCTGAAAAAAATATCTTTTTCTGAAGAACAGTAAGGTCATGGTTAGTCTTATTTATATTGAAGCATCCTCAGGTAATCTACATTCAAATTTGCTCAAATCATAACCCCTGGGGGTAGGGATGGGCCATGGTGGGCAATCAGAGTATTACATAGAAATATATAGAAAAACTTTAAAAAGTCCTCTTCTCAAACAGCAAAGTCATGCTTTATCATTTAAAGAAGCATTCTCAGGAAGTGTACATTAAAGTTTGTTCAACTCATGAGCCCCAGAGCTAGGGTGGCCCCGGCAATGGCTAATCAAAGCTTTGAATAGGAATACATAGGAAAAGTGTCAAAAAAATCTTCTCAAGAACAGCAAAACCTTTATTATACAGTCAAACCTTGTTATCTTGAACTCAAAGGGACTGAGAAAATACTTCGAGATAACCGAGGGTTTGAGATATCCAGGGTAAAATACTTAAGGAATAGGCAGATGGGACTTCAAAATGACTTCAACATATCTATGGTATTCGACATATCCGTGTTCGAGATACCGAAGTTCAATTGTATTTATATAGAAGCATTCTCAGGAAGTGCAGATTAAAGTTTGTTCAACTCATGAGACCCAGGGGTAGTGTGGGGCAACAATAGAACAGCAAGGCCATGATTTGTCATATCCTCAGGTAAAGTAGATTAAATTTTGTTCAAAACATGAGACCCAGGGGTAGGGTGGCCCACAATAGATAATCAAATGTTTGCATAGGAATACAAAGGAAAAATCTTTGATCATCTTCTTCTAATGAACAGCAAAGCCATGATTAGTCATATTTATACTGAAGCATCCTCAGGTAGCATAAATTAAAGTTTGTCAAACTAATGACCCCTGGATGTAGGATGTATGGTGGGGCTACTATGAACATCAAAAATTTACATAGGAATAGAGAAGAAAAGTGTTTAAAAATCTTCTTAAGAACAGCAAAGCCATGATTAGTTATATATGTGTTGAAGCATCATCTGGTAGTGTAGATTCAAGTTTGTTCAACTCAAGTCCCCTTTTATAGGGTGGGTCCATACTATTTTATCAAAGTTTACATAGGAATATAAGGGAAAAATATCTGCCAATGAATAACAGGGTCATAGTGACTCAGGTATGAACATTGTGACCCATGGACCTCTTGTTAAATATTTCATAGTAAGTAACTCCTGTAACAGAAACAAGAAAAGTGAAATATTCTTGTCTGTGCATAACTTAAAAACTGATAGACAAAAGAGGTTCATACTTGATACAAAGGTAGTCTGTGACCAACGGTGTATCTTGACACTGTACCATTTATTTGGATGAAGTTGCATGGTAAAAAAGCATTGAATTGTTCTCTTAGCATCTCTGCAATGATTAAACATTTAAAACTATAATACATGAGACAAAGATACCTTGTACTGCAAGACCTTGCGTTACAAGGTGTTTAAAATGTTAGGGTCAAAGGTTTTGGATTCCTGCCTTTAAAATGATGGAAAACATTAGAAGATTAAAATATGCACAAAGGGTATGAAGCAGCCATGGTTATTTGGTCAAGTGAATTTTTGTCAGTAGCATAATTTTGTAATGGTAAGATCACACTTTCCTTCAAGGTGAGTAGTGCATATCAGGGAAATAGACAGTTTTAAAACACTCATTTTATATATACTAGTAATACTAGTAATTATAATAGAGGTTAGATAATTAAACTTAATTTGACACCCCTTGCATTTAATAATAAACTGATTTGTTTTTCACAGCATACTGCATTCCTGGGAAATACGTAAATTCTACTGGACAATGTGATGATTGTATGATAGGTTACTACAAGAGCGCTACAGGAAATGACAACTGTACAGCCTGTAGTCGCAATTCCACCACTCCCTCTAGGGGATCAACATTACCCTCAGACTGTTCCATAGGTAAGTTTGATTGGATAAAGAACTCAGATTATATCATATAACTTGTGTTGCCTATGACAGAATATTACTTACTTCAAAAATGTGTCAATGCATCTACCACTTTAATTTTTTTTGGGTACATTTTTAATGCCATTTTTGAGGAAAATTGTTGTATGTTACAGATAAATTAATGATACATCTTATAATAGTTTTATGAAACTTGTCTCTGACACTTAAGGAGGAGAAGGACCTTGAGCTGAAAAAATACTTGTCATTCAATTATTTTCATATTTTGTATATTTCTAATTAAGTATGTCCCACATATCTGAAAGCAGTTATATCATTAGGTTTCATACCTTATTTTGGAGATATTGATTGACAAATACTATGTCCTACAGTATCTAAGTGGAGTTTTAATTCTCCATGTTTCCGGGCGCATTACTCTGTCCATAATGGGATTTTTTAAGCATACATAAAAAATATCAAAGTGGACATGTATCTTTTAAAATATTTCAGAGTATAACTAGGATTTAAAATTCGAAAAAGCAAGTTTTGTCTATCACACTGCATCTGCATAGGGAAAATTGCGCACTTTTTAAGACAACTTAAACAATAAAAAACGTAATTTACAAAAATTCTATCATTCAATATTTTTTAATTTACGTTGAAATGCAAATCCTTCAAATTATTGATTAACTGTAAAAGTTTCGAATGATGAAGCTGACCTCATTATTTCACAGGACATCGTTAAAGAGGACATAAGCATGGCAAAAACGTGTCATGCTACATTTCTCGAGTATGGGAAAAACCAACTATGACGTCACACGTAAGCTAAATAAGCGAAATAAGATATACCTACATAAGATTTCCGTCATCAGACATGCAAAAATCATTTTTGTGTTCCCCGTTTCTCAAAATATTTCATCATATACTGATTATGACCTGTTTTTACATAATAATACCACCCCTCTCTTCACCGAGTATGATCTTGCTGTACTAACAGATCGTGTATGACGTCACCGACTTGTTGGACGCGCAGTTTAGGGAAACAGAGGAGTGGATCAATCTTTTTCATAATTTGTTAATGTTTACAAAATGTTAAAACTTTATTATTTTTTTTTTTTATATAAGATGGTAGTTAAAGTTAAAAAATTGTCAAAAAATATACAAGAACTGATGCTTTACACGTTTTGCACTTATATAACGGAGACTATGACGTAGTTAAACAGAGTCATGTGACCATGTGTCCTTCATCCCCTTAAAGGGAAACTTGTGGTAAGTTCATTTTGCACAGGTTATAAGCACAGGAAGACCCAACCAACATTATACAAACTCTTACCTTTTACAAGTATATATTTTCAATAGAATTTTTTCAAACAATTTGTTGTATTTTATATCTATTCAACAAAAGTAACCAACTATTAAATGTGTTTTGACCAAAATATTCCGATACGATACGATATTTTATAAAGCGATATGCGATATATTGGATTCTTTAACAAGTCTATCTAAAAGGTCTTGTAAATCATTTAATGCATAAATTTGATAAAAAGTGGGTGTTTTATTACCAAATTGGAAGTTCATGTCTTACTGTCTTTAGAAAGTACACTTCAAATTCAAACTTTTAATGACTGTAGAACTAACATATTAAAATATAGTTGATTCTGTATTTTGCAATAGTTATTTAAGATGTGCTTTCTCCTTAATTGTTTATTTCACTATTGACCAGTTTTAATTAAAAACAGTTAAAAATTATCTCTGGTGACTGAAATTCCCAACTTTTTTTCACAATTTTTTTAGAAAAACTGTCTGCAAGATATGTATTGGAAGTTATTTTTTTGATACGATACATTCCTGAATATCGATACATATTGATTAATCGATATATTGACACAGCCCTATCTCCCACAGATAAATTTGGAGGGGGGGAATCACCTTGTCCATCTGTACATTCAGCCATCTGTCTGTCACTGCAATATTGTTCAGGCTATAACTTTGTAATGGAACATCACTGAAGCTCCACTGTGTATAGAGATCGCTTATGATTAAGGGTATGTCATGACCTTGACTTAAGCAAGTTCCAGGAAGTTCAAGGTCACTGGCAGAAAGTATAAAATCCATGTCTGGGCTATAACTTTGTAATGGAGAATCACTGTAATGCTTCTGAACATAGAATGTGTCATGAACATGACCCAAGGTACTTCTGACAAGTTCAAGGCCAATGGCAGATAAAGTATAAAATTCTTGTTCAGGCTATAACTTAGTAATGAAGAATCTCTGGAAGCTTGGTACTAAGTACAAAAATTGTAATGGCAAGAGGGTATCATGACCTTAACCCAAGGTTTTCTGGCATGTTCAAGGTCACTGGTAGAAAATGTATGAAATTCTTGTCAGGGATATAATTTTGTAACAGAGAATTATTGGAGGTCTATACATGGTACAGAGATTGATTATGACTGGAAAGTGTGTTTTGACCTTGAGGCAAGGTCTTTTAAGTTCAAGGTCACTGAAAGAAAAAGTATAAAATTCTTGTCTAGGCTATACCTTTGTAATGGAGAAACATTGGAAACTCATCTTTTGTACAGAAATTGTTTATGAGCATACATGTATGTCATGATCTTGATCCAAATTTCTCTGGTAAGTTCAGTGTCAACGGCAAATACCGCCGCGTTTGAGTTCGTCTCATGGCACTCATGTAAAAACACGTTAGCACATCTTCACGAAAGGTGTTAATTGCTTATATATATATATATATATATATATATATACAGTATAATTTGTCCAAACCGGCTACCCCCGTTTCCATAAAATTTGGCCGGATTAGACAGAATCCGGAGTGCAGGAAAACATTTGAAATTTAATTTCGTTGATTTATTTACGAGTACAATATATAACGTGAAATGTTACTGGAGTCAAAATCTACAGACTCGCATATTATACTATATATATCACGCGGCCCGGGTTTTGCATGTCAAAGAGCGCATTCAGTGTAACTATAAGCACAACTTTTTACGTCATGGCGCCATTTTGGGATGAGACGTTTGAGTTTCGATCCCGATTTATATTTTGATTTGCAAATCGGGTACTTATATTGTATTGATTTTTTATTATACTGTGTGATATGGAGTTAAAAGCATGTTAAATGTGTGAGTAATTTTTTTTAAATTTACTTGTAATTTAATCTTATATTTCTCCAAGTGGGCTGTGTTACCGCCGCGTTTGAGTTCGTCTCATGTCACTCATGTAAAAACACGTTAGCACATCTTCACGAAAGGTGTTAATTGCTTTGAAGTAACTCAGGTTATTATGTGTGGATGGATTAGAGAAAATAATTACTGTTAATTATGAGCAGTTGGGACCAGTATGGCCGTTCGGAATACAGAATAGACAGTATCTGGTCTACACAGAATTTTTATGACCCCGGATCGAAAGATCCCGGGGGTGTATTGTTTTTGTCCTGTCTGTCTATTTGTCTGTTTATATGTTTGTCTGTTTATATGTTTGTCTGTCTGTCTGTTGTCAACTTTAACCTTGCCCATAACTTTTGATTGGTTGGAGCTATGACTTTCATATTTCACTTGTGTATTCCTTGTGACAAGACCTTTCTTTGGGTACCTTGGCCTTGGAGTTTGACCCACTTTTGCAAAATTTTATGAGACTTTAACCTTAGCCATAACTTCTGAGCAGTTGGGGCTTGGGGTTTCAAACTTCACATGTGTATTCTTTGTGACAAGGCCTTCCTTTGGATACAAAAACTTTGATCTTTTGACCTTGACCTTGGAGGTTGACCTACTTTTGAAAAACTTTAACCTTGGCCATAACTTTTGAACAGTTGGTGCTTGGGGTTTCAAACTTCACATGTGTATTCCTTGTGACAAGACCTTCCTCTGGATATCAACCTCTTTGACCCTTTGATCTTGACCTAGGAGTTTGACCTACTTTTGAAAAACTATAACCTTGGCCATAACTTTTGAACAGCTGCAGCTAGGGCTTTCAAATTTACATTTTTTATCTTTTGGCCTGGATTTTGACTTGCATTTGAGAAACTTTAACCTTCGCCATAAGCTGCCATACGGGGGCATCAGTGTTTCACAAACACGTCTTGTTTCTAATACATTTGTTAAAAAACTGCATGGGACTCAAATTTATAGCCGGATTTGACAAAAATCCGGAGTACTCAGAGTCCGGATTGGAGAAATTTTAATATATATATATATATATATATATATATATATATATATATATATATATATATATATATATATATATATATATATATATATATATATATATTAGGAATGACTCTAATTCTTGGCCAAATTATTCGAGTATAACCTGGTTTGGGTCAGTTTACGCTTTATAATCCGCGTAAAATCCCAACAAAATACGTTTCCATGAAACATTAAATTTTAAAAATAAAAAAAAATCATCCAAGAATGAGCAAACTAAGCCTGGAGCTGATCCCAGCCGGCATAAACAAATTTCTGTTATTCTAAGTGAAAACTACCTACTTATCTATATTTATAAAAAAAAATTTAACAAACTACCAATGTACATGAATTATATATGCATGATAAAAAGGTGTGGTTATAACCTTACTAATAACAAAAAACAAACATAGACTTGGGGGTAAAATTCCAAGGAATAGACGTCAAATAAACGAAGTAATCAGTGAAGCTCCCAAGGATATGTATTATGAGGTGGTTACAAAGGTTTCTGACAAAGTTGTAGTAAATATCAATTTAAAACTTAATTGGGAAAAAACAAAACAAAAACAAACAAAAAACAAACAAAAACAAAACAAACAAACTACTTTTGAGTTTCAAAATGACAAAGTCTACCTTGAGCTCTTTTTTTTTTCTTTTATTAAAAACATATGCAACATACAACATCTTGGGCATAGATTATATTATACATTACAATTAGTATTTTATGACATATCAGAATTATAATACATGTACTTCTGCAGAGAGAGAGAAAAAAAATATGCATCATACCTGTCTAATAAACATTCTACTACT